TGCTACAGCTATTCTGTTTTGAGAGGTGCAAAAGTGTCCATGTTCTGTGCGAAGGCACGCCTGAGAGAATCAAACCTTTCTCTCTTCACGGAATCCATGCTTCGTTGACCTGCCTCTTCCAAAGAAAATGCCGGCGCTCAAGGGAATGCCAAGGGAATGCCGGTCCTTCCGCAAGGCTGCGATGGTCTGATCCTTCATCTCCTTCTCCTGCTGCAAATGCTCTCTTGCCACCGTCAGTGGAAGTAGCTCCGATTCGGTCCTGTGGGCGTCCACTCGTTATGGCAAAGGCCAGGTGAGCGTGAAACGAGCTTTTCACAAACCACCTTGCGTTCAGACATTGCCCACGGATTTGGGGCGTACCATGGCGTACCCCTTTCTTGAGCTGTACCCGCTTCATGAGGTTCCGCAAGTATAGGCTAGGCCTGGTTCCGTTCTCCGGAAGCTGTTCAGCAGGTAAATTAAAGACATGACATGCACAAACCAAACATGTCTTGAGGGGATGAGTTCTGCATTTTGACTTGTCCTTTCGTTTGGGTTTGAACCTCTTTCAAAGCAAGCTAGAGGTTCATACCTGAGCAACTGCAATTCATCGACCCATGCTCAACAACCTCTTGAGCCGAGTCCTGCTTTTCTCGTACTCCAACTGGTACTTGGCCTTGCTCAACTCAGACATCTTGCCTGTTTGCAGCTCCAGCTCTTTCAAAAGCCTGCGTCCAGCGCATGGAAAGGCACTGGGACAAATTTCTGAAAACGATCACTCGAACCTCGAAACAGAACCTAGGGAGGCACCCTGAGGTGCGCACGCCCAAGTAAACGCGTTGGCAAAAATGAAAGAAGCTCCGTTTCCCCAACAAAGCAATCCCAATGAAAGAACCTCTCTAAAACAGTTGACCAGTTTATATTAATCGAGTGGTTTTTTCATGGTTTTTCATGACGGCACCTGGCGATTTTCTCCTCCTTGCGCACCTCTTCGCTGAGGAGGCCATCCACCTGTCGAGAAGATGGGCTGAGGATGGGCAAGGGGTAAGTTCCAGCCGGTGATATTGAATCTTAAAGCCTTGTCAGTGGGGTGGTTTGGACGAATTCAAGGGCCTACAAGGTGGGGTAAATGAAGCTGGTCTGCCCAATATTTGCCTACAGGGAGTTATGGAATCTCAATGAACCTGATGATGTGGTGTAGATGGAGATGCCTACTCATTCTAAGGGTAGTCCTGCTCCAGCCAACCTATGCGCTCCAAACCACTGGAGTTGTTTGTTGCAGTGCAAAGGAGGAGCGACCACACTGCTTTGGTGTGGAAGCTGGACTGGTCAATGCAAACCACCGTGTGAGCGTCCCTGGCGGTTGCCTCTCCTGGCTCGTGGACACACATACATATTACACGAATATGTATATATATATATATGATGTACACATATTATGTATACTTACTTCACGCGACAGTCGACAGTTGTTTTTTTGCAGGAACAGTTAGAATTTTATCAGGAAAAGCACCCAAAAAACTGCGAATCAAAGTTGAATTCCAGGCTCAGCACGACGCCCCAGTCACATCCCGACTGACAAGTGGTTCTAACTGGACTTATTTATACTTTGGGAACTGGTGTCAACATGAGCGGTTGAGCTTTGAGGCACACCCGGGCCTTGTGACCATCTCATGTGGATCTATATACGCGTTCGTGGGAACTGACCTCCTAAACCCGCCCCGCTTGGATTCCCAAACAAATCGATTTTCAGAGGTGGACCATCCCGAATCCCTGCAACAGTAGGAATCACCGCCTGCTGCTGCAACTGTTCCTTCTGCTGCTGTAGCTCTTCATCTACAGTAGTTCTCACCGGCTCCTGGCGTAGGTCGCGGGAAGTCTGGGAAGCAACTCGGTTGCATTCGGACGGTTCCGGGGTTTAACAATCGTCTTCCGGGGTAAGTGCCACCCCGAGATCAGGTTAACCGGAGTCTTGAGTGTACTCCACTTGTTACCCCTGCCCTGCTTGTTAGCTGACGGTGAAATGTCCTAGGTTGGGAAAACAACATCACATCATCTCTTTCGGGAACAGATTCTGAGTCTTTGGTTGGTCGAAGGAGAATCTTAGAGTTTGTCCCCATCTCCTTCCGTTTCAAAGACAACGAACTTGAACTGACACTGAAAATGAATCTCGGAGAATTCCACGGAATTCGGACTATTGATCTTGAACCCTGGCTTTGGGTTTCATGGCAGTTCTAGCACAGTCAGCCAATGCAAACTCAGTCTGCCAAGAAACCAATCTTTGATGAGCAACATCAAATGACTATTGTGACCAACATCTATGCTCTCTCTTAGAATTGCTTCCTCCAAACCATGGAGGCCATAGCTACTAGGGTGGAGGCCATCACTATTAGATTGGAGGACTGGTTGGAGGCCATTGCTACTAGGGTGGAGGCCATCGCTACTCTTCGGTTGGAGGCCATAGCTATTAGGTTGGAGGCCATAGCTATTAGGTTGGAGGCCAAAGCTATTATATAGGTTGGAGGTCATAGCTACTAGGGTGGGGGCCATAGCTATCAGGTTGGAGGCCATAGCTATTGGGTTGGAGGTCATAGCCATTTGGTTAGGCCGGAGGGAGGCCATAGCTATTAGGTTGGAGGCCAATAGTATTAGGTTATGCAAGTTTCTGGCCATCTTTAGTTGTTCAACTCCAGCAGCACAGTTCCTCTCCTGTAACTTTTCGTGCAGGGCCCCTTTCAGCTCCGACACCTGGCGTGCCACGCCAACCGGAAAAGCCGATTGTGACCAGCTGATGCCCTTTTGGCAACCACCTGGTTGCTGCTGTTGCTTGCAGGAAGCAGTAATGAAAATGGTCCGAATTTCAGCGAAACCAATTCCGCTTGTGATTTCGCAACACCAGAGTCCAAGCGAATCTAAGAGCGTCCCAGGAACTTTGCATGAGATGCGTTCAAAGTATCGATGCAAAAAACACATCAAGGGGCCAAGGGACGGAAACGGTGTTTGCTTTGCTGTCAGACAGCTAGCAGCACGTGTTTGCTCGCCGGGCATGCACTTTAGTTCCGAGTTCTTGGGCCCACGAGTCCTACAACCACCTACTTGCTTTTTGGACAGATCCCACTTACAGCTGGAAACTCATGTTGGTGGATTCAACTGGTGGTAGTGTGGTGTCTGTTATCGAGCATAGTAACTTACCCAATCGACCTTAGCTAAATGTTGCCAGCGTGTGAAGCTCAAGGCAGCCAGTGCAGCGCAAATTTTGAGAGAGCAGCAATAGAACAACCTGCCTCTTTCTCCAAGGCCGACTTCTGCTGTTCAAGTCGGGCGCAGGCGTTCTCGAGCTCGGCCCATCCTGGAATCGAGAAAGCGATTGTAGCGTTTATACTTTCCAGTCGAGCGTTCTTGGTGCATGTTGGCGACAGGCGCGTTGTTTGTTGGAGTCCATACCAGCGGACATGCCTGCCAAGTAAATTGAAGGCTGAGCGGAGCCTTCAACAAACTATCAGTAAATATCAGTAACATGGACCCTGAGGGTGTCTAGGCAAATGTTGGAGAACAACCCCTTCAAACATTTATCCGCATTTAATCAAACACAACTTACAGTTCAGGAAGCAATTTGGCAATGGCAGTTTATGAGAGCATCTCGAAGTAGAGAGACATCTAGACTTCCCAACAAAATGTATGTTCATCGTTGTTTATCTACTTCATTTGCTAAGAGTCGCAAACAAAAAAGGGCCCCCCGTGCCTTTCAATCGCTGCCATACAAGGCAAAAGACATATGAGTTCGGGGTCAAAACCACAGACCCTGGTGGATTCCTTGCAAGTATCAAACCTACCATGCGTATCCATGCGTGACTCATGCCTTTGCTTTTCTCACACCTACCCACATGCTTTAGATGAACACCGGCCATGGTGTTTGATGGTGTTTGGGACTCTCTCTCTCTCTCAATCTGTACCCTCAGCCAAGCTGCTGTTGTGCCATTCAACACCCTCAGGAGGAAGGCTCTCCATTGCCGCCAAAGGCTCCACTTCTTCTGCTAGCTGAAGCCTTCTTTTGGGTACTTGAGGTCCTCATACTTGGACATGGAGGGAAACTAGGACGCTGATACATTTTGTTGTCTGTGGTGTTCAGTTCCAGTCTCTCCACTGTATTATCTTGGGTACCGTAGTTGACGTTCCCTCGTTCTATCTCTTGAGTCTTGCTGCACTCAAGTTTCCGGTGCGACATTGCATCATGATGAATTATGACACCTTGTTCTCGAGCCATCACGCGGCTGCTATGTGTGGGGTCATTGAATGGATGGACATTGGGTTCATGGCTTTGGCGTTGCATCCAAACCCAATCCAACATTAGTTCATTAGTTGATGGGGTATCTACAACTAACATCAGCATCAGTGTACAGATCCGTATGAGACTCTGAAACAATAGCGTTTGACCCATTCCCACCATCATCACACAATTGCTCGGTCTAACAATTGATGCACACCACATGACAAATGCTAAAGTCTTGAACTGGTGGATTCTTGAATTGGATGTAGAGGAAAGCTTCCTACACCATCCACAATTGGAACTTCCAAACATTCATACTAACGAACACCCGGTCAGGGGAATCAATGTATGATGTAGAATAATGAATTCACTCCTTGTTCGTTCTTTGTCCAAATCAGCCTTTTTCACCTCTCCTCTCACATCTGCAGGCACAAACTTTTCCCGTCTGGCCATCTGGCTGACCGTGCGAAAGCATGGCCAAGTCTTCCCGTGCCTTGGCATGGCCTTGCTCTGAAGCACGCTTGAACCTGGGACGTTGCGAACGTCCGAAACTCCAGTGGCCCCAGCCGACCAGTTAGTTCAGTTCTTCTGCACAAAAAAGGAGGCCCTTAGGCTGTGGAGTTTGCTGTGGCTAAATGCTATTGTAGTAATGGTAGTATCAAAACACATCAAACCTATATCTGCCACAGTAGACACTCTGTCTTTTCGAGAACGAGAAACACTCGGATCAACAGGTATTACTCTGTGGTGTTAGGCAAGGTGAAGACACACGAGTGCAAATACTAACACTTGTTCGGAGGTATCGACATGGCTTTACAATGTGTTGGTTTTGTCCTTGATAGTCAATCAATCTCACTCACACCCTTCCACTGTAAACGCACTCCTTCGCCAGGATATCCTTTTGGCCCTGACCAGGCAGCAAGGCTCGTGCTTTCGCCGGCTTGACTGGCAGGGTGCCGCGGCCAGTGGCGTAGCATCTTCCAAGCTGCCATTGCGCCTCGCCGCGGCCAGTGGCGCGGACGATCACGCGGACCATGTGCGCGACGCCGTAACAAAACAATGCAGGCAAGTGAATCGGAAGGCGCTACTCCGCGACTGTGAGTATCAGCTGAACACTCATACGCATCCATCCAATACGTTCCAGTCCAATCCAGTCCAATCCGATTCAATCCATCTGGAACTCTTCATGCTTTCGGCCCATCGAGAAGTCGGACGCCTCAGGGTCGCCCAACTTGACCAGCTTCCGCCAAAGGCTCACCTTCGTCCATCGCTCGCGCGCGGTTGTTCGACACCAAAACGGGTGAGGTGTTGAGATCTTTGTGCCGGCCCCCCCAAGCCCAAGAAATGTATAACCTCTTCTAAGAAGGGTGTAACTGCAAGTAAGTTCAGAGTGAATTATATAGTCTTAGTAAACTGACGTAAACTGTATATCTTTGTGTTGGCACGGGAGAGAGGTGTGGTTTTAGATGATTGTAGCAACCTTTCGACAGCTGCAACAACTCGAGTTGCTTTGCATGGGGCGGCCTTACCGAATTGGGAAAATGGGACCTCTTGGTCCTCGATCAGTTTCTTTTGAGCTGCCAGGAACCGCAGTTTGTCTAAGAGGGCATAGCGGCAGAACTCATATATCCTTTGCATCCTGAACATGTAGAAATTCTGTCTGTGCAAAGACTCCAAGAAAACTCCGAGAAAAACATCCGGAGCTTCTCTGGCTTCATTATGCTTCATCCAAGTCGCGGCTTCTCCATCTCCTCGCTCCTGCACCAGCTCTGCCAAAAGCCGCATCGACGCTGCGTCCCGCTGCCGTGCAGCTCGGCGAAGCCTGTTGCGACATGTTGCGACACATGGGCAATTATAGAAGCGATGGCCTCCAACCTACTTGCGATGGCCTCCACCTAGTAGCTTATATTTACTAAGAAGCGGCAGTTGTCGTTGAATACAACAACAACAACGCAGCGATATATAATCAGCCATGTGAAGTCCCTGTCGATGTCCAGAAAGAAAACATCCGTGCTGGAATCTTTTGGATGCCGCAGGTGCTGCCGGTGCAAATTTGTTTCCAACAACATGTCTCATCCGAGGCCACCGAGTTGCCAAAACTCGTAGCCGCTCCAGTTCGCTGGTGTGACTCGCAGCTGCTGTTCCGCAATCCTCGGAAACAAAAGCGATTGCAAATCAACAGCATGCTCACAATGCTTCCCAGAATCTGGATTGGTGGCCATTTTCAGTATGTGGGATGGAATCATTGAAACTGGGAGGGAATTTCTGACGCGTTGGTTCCTTTTGCATCGAGTGTAAGGTCCCAAAGATTTGTGCTTTTCCAATGGGGCACCCCACCCCCTCGCCCGTCACCAGGAAAACGCGGCCTCGCAAACAAACGATGTGAAGGTGTGCGAAAACACGAATGGAGAACCATGTCGCAAAACTCAGCACCCAATCACCATTATATATATATACATCAGGTGTGGACATTCCACTTAATTACAGTAATTTGATTCAAGCCTGCACAAACATATTTTCTCCACACAAAGCGGCAAAAAGTAGCACACAATAATGACTTCAGAGAGAACTGATGAATGCTGTCTCGCAACATTCTTGAATCGTGAGTCGTGAGACAAACGACTAACACATGACACACAGTAGGATTTGTGGACTGCCCTGCCCCCCCGCATCTTCCACCGGATGTCTACATCTGTCACCCGAATGTCATAGGCATAGGTTTCTCTCCGTTCCACATGGCAAACATCAGCTTGGAGTCCAGCTGGAATTGGCGAAGGTCCGATCACAGTTTGGAGCAGCTGTAGAACATGTCCAATGGACCCACAAAAAGTATACGCAAAGGTTCCCTGTCGTTGGAGTCCATCTTCCGTAAATGATCTTCCACACACCACGTCCAGCACGTGCTGAGTCTGCAGAGTCTGTTGCCCCAAAAGATTGAATGTGCCGGCCATCGACAGTCTGGCATGGAGATATAAAATGATATAATATAAGACTTATATAATTATAATCCTTTTTGTTGGCTTCTTTCGACTTGGGCCTTCCCCCGCTCCCGGCGAGGTTTTCCAAAACACATGAGAACAGTGAAACATATATAGGCCGTTTCATCTAGCAAAGGGTCCCAACAAGGAGAGTCCTCGACGTCACGGTGAAATTAAGGAACCCTCGTACCAACGTGATCGTTCTGGCAGATCCCAAGGACGATCCGACAATTTGGAGACTATGTGCCATGCGTCACAATGTGGGTACAGGTGCAAAGCAGCATACACCCCCCAAAGAATTCAAAGAATTGCATTTTGAGAAACAAAACCTCCTATGTTTGACCCACCGGCCCTCACCAGTGCCCATTCGTTCCAGGCCACTCGCGCATGGCATCCGCATAGTTGGCCTCCGCACTTGCCCGCAGCCAGCGATCCGCTTCCAGGTTGTTGGTTGGAAAACCCTGGCCATGGCGGTACATGCTCGAGAGCACATAGGCCTCAGAGGTCAAAACTGGAAATCTCCAAACGTGGGCATTTCAAGACTGTGCTTCCTATATAAAGTAAATTGAGTAAATTAAGAATGAGTTCGCACATGTTCTCCAGCCAGCGCACAGGGCTGGCCAGAAATATGCGTGCTCGGATCAAATGTGTGAAATGCAAAACGCCGACAGCCGCAGCACCCTTCTTGATGACTTGATGATTTCGTGAAACCATTTTCATTTCTGCACTGGATCAGCAAACAGGAAAAGCAACATGAACGCACCTTGGGGACATGCTGGTTGGATTTGCTTCCAGCAGCAGCAGGCAGTGAGTTGCTTGACCCTGTGAATCGTTGTCGATTCGTGCAGTCACACACACACACACACTTTCACTGCCCTTAAGACTGAAGACCACCAGAAGCCACACATTGTGCCTCGAGTACACATGGACCAAATACGACCGAATGATATCAAGGCAGCAATCGCTGATGGACTCCGCCATGTGGGACTTGCTTCAAAAAGAAATGGTTTCACATCAAGCTCAAAAGCCGAATGTCGGATCCTGTACCATCATATTTCAATCTCAACGTGTCCGTCCGTGCCAGGCTGACCTGCTTCAGTGGATGCGTTTGCCCTCTCAAACATGAGCTGGTGCAACAAGCTTGTGGGCGAAATGATCCTATATGATCGCATCAACAGCTCCTGTTCCTTGCCTCTTCAATGAGTACAAAAGCAAATTTCTGGCCACATCGTTTTGGAAACTCCAACCTCTGCCAGACGCTCCTTCTCTCAGGTCACCACATAATCCCACATACGGTCGCCACGGCCGCCACGGTCGCCACGGCCGCCGGTCGGCTGGACATCCGGTCGTCACGTGCGCTGGACATCCGGTCGGATGCTTGCCACGAAGCCATCGGGGACGTGGGGGGATCACCGAATCTATCTCATCTCATCCAATCGATCACGTGGTTTCAGTGGTCACACCGGGCGCCTGGAGGAGATCGTTTCACAGATCGCTGAAACCTTGAAACTGAAAAAGGGAACCAGCTGAGTCACAGCTCGTCATGCCATGGTTTGTCCCCAGCTCATCTTGCCCTTGAAACTCAAGAAGCACATGCTTCCTGGATGTTGACAGCTCAGTCCACAACAAGAATTCCGACATGCCATGGAGCTGTCCAGAAATGTTTGTAGTAGGACTTAATGCCGCTTCGGCGGATGGCATTGGCAGAATAAAAAGCATGTCATGGTGTGAAGCTCCAGCCCGGCATCATTCAAATCAGCACCCAAAGAACTACGAGCTTGCCGCATATCTTTTGCCTGGGGTGTATGCAGCGATCCACCGTCGCATACGGTCAAGCAGTAGCTGTCGCAGTTTCTTGGGTATGCTGTCGACAGCTGACAGCTGACTGGCACTTCGGTCGGAGCAAGACATCGCGAAAGCGGCACATGGCGACTCAACTTGCCCATACTTTGGGTCTTTCCTATGACCAGTAGAACAGTGGATGATGATGGTGAGTAAAGGCCATTCTATAAATAGTGATCATTGTTGACCGACTGTTACTGGTAAGAGGACAAACCAACACATACTTTCTAGTGCTCTCAATTTCCAAGTCACTGCTTCCAAGTCGTCTTGCTCAGCTGCTTGCAGCATCCAGTGAGCTGCTTTCGCTAGATCTTGTGAAAGGCCCTGTCCGTTCGCATAGGCAAAGGCCAAGCTTTTCCTCAAGGCTTGACCAAGGGATGATGGTGCCTTTATGGTCTCGTGATCCCTCTTGGTGTGGAGAGTTGAACCATTAACTACAAAAAGTTACTAGCAAGAAAGGGAATCGCTACTAGGAGCAAGAAACTGGTAGTAGCTCCTGGCATTACTACTAGTAACAAGAAACTAGTAGGTTGGAGGCCATCGCTACTAGTAACAATTCCTTCAAAGATCCCTGTGGCTCGACAGTCCCAACATCTTCCGTCACCTGACCATAATTGAGGCCACAGCCTATGAAGGTGTCTCAAGCAATGCAACATCTCTGGTCACTCCGACTTCCGGGATTGCATATTTAGCAAACACACAAAAGAGGTCAAGTCAAGTTGTCAACTTCACCTAATTATTCCATAATGGTTCTCTCATGTTCTCTCACAAACACTTCCCCGCACCCGGACGCTTTCCTTGTCCCTCCGGTCTCACTCCAAAGCACTGCGCCAGTGCGAAGCCCGCGTCGGCCGCGTGGCGCAGCCCACGGGCCGCACGCACCAATTCGTTGGGTTCGGCTGCCTCCAAGAGCATCAAACTCAAGTGATGCTGAGCACCTGGGTTGTGAAATGTTGCGCAACGCAGCAACATCAGGGTTATGGAGGCGTGGCGATGTGGCGATGCAAACAGGTGGAAGTTGGCATCCCAAACAATGCGGCTGAAGTCGAAACTCAAGCGATTGATCAGTAGATGCGCAACTAAAATTGAAAAAAAATTCGCTTGAGGAATTCATTCGCACTCACCATGTCTTGGCATGCTTAGCTCAAACGAAGCAAAGTATGGATGGTGAGATGAACTGTTTTTCCTGATGATGCATGCGTTACTCGTGGCTTGTCGGGCCCTCCCTGCAAAAAAAATTAAGGACTCGCAGCAGCTAGCAGCTAGCATGAACAGTGAAACAAAAGCACATGCAAACATGTTTCCTCTCTTCTAGTGTGCTCCATGTTGCAGAATCGCTCTGCACAAATCGTTGAATGAACGCCCATATATATAGGGGGCCCCTCTCAGTCCGATTCAACCTCATACAAACCACCAACAACAGCAGGATAAAATCGACCAAACGATTCATCGTGAACTGTCTGGCACCATAGTGTCCCATCTTGGCCGCCTTTTCGTACAGTCTCCTCGGCCAACTGCCGCAGCGGCCCAAAAAAGGAAGTAGTCACAACTATTCTGAATAATCTTGAGTACCTATTTAAAAACGGACCCCTAAAAAAAGAAACATGTCGGCACCCCCTCAAAATACGGTTTATATTTGTTTTTAAATGCCCTTTCGGCCCGCTACTAAACCACCAACACGGCCGACTTTGGATGATTTTTTTTATGTTCCAAAAACAACCGTAACTGCCCACCTCTGTCGACCCTGTCTATCCACCATGACACGCCGTGTTTACACCAGCAGGCTTTCCTTCCCCCATGGCACGGACTCACGCAAACGCACCTTTTCCACCGAGGTCACGCAAAACCGCATGGCACAGCGACATCACCTTTCGAAAGCTTTATTTGTTAGTCTAATGAAGAATCACTATTCTAATAAATTTTTTGTAGGGGGAAAGGAAGACCCTTCGATCTGGTACGAGTTTAATATATGATTTTATATATATAGATGATTTTATATAAAATGTTCATGGGTTACTTTTGGGTTTTGAAGCCCTTCCCAGGTGACCCTTTTTTGAACCGCCCCGATTTCAGGGACCCCCTATTAAAAGAAAGGCGACCGAGGTTTTCTTATTAGGGGGGGTGGCCGCGTGTTTTTAATAGGCGGACAGGATTATTAACCAAAACTCTGACCTTCCATGATGCAAAAAGAAAACCTTGCCAATTTTACATCCACAAATCAATGCCTCCATCACGTCTACCCCACCTTCTATGCCCTGCAGAAACTGCCCCGCCAGGTTGTACATCGCATCAGGATCGCCCTCTGCCGCTGAGCGGTGGTACCAGGGCGTAGTGCCAGTGGCCACGGCTGCCGGCGAGGATTTTATCCAAAAGATCCTTGGTGGTTTCACAAAGGATAAGAGCAGTGATATGAGTGGGGGGCCTGGTGGATTAGCATTGGGTCCGTGTGTTCGCATGTTTTCACCTACAGTAGGTCTATCTACTGCCCTGTGGTCCACTCTGTACTGTTCAGTGAAGGGGCTCTTCAAACAAATATCCGGCTTGTGGCCATTGAATCCCCTCTGGCATCTTCCCTCCCGTGGGTGTATGCCACGGGTGTCCTTAACTTAGTGTCTATATTTTGTTCGTCCTGGACCCTCAACAATCAAGAATTTTCTTCACTATTGGGATTTCTTTCCTATTGGGCCGAGTTGGCCGATTCCAACCAAAAGTGAACGGCTTCAACCAAAATTGAATGCTAGCGCTGCTCCTTTTCGTGATGCGCACACGGAACACCTGTAAGCCACTGTGCAAACAAGTGCGCGATCAATGAACATTTGACCGGTTCAATTAAATCGGAAGCGTGTATGGCCGACTTGCAGTTTGCGCACAATGTTTTCGTTGTTGGATAGCAGGTCCCTTTTCCTCTCTGATTTAGTTGTGCGATGGGAACTCGATGAAATCCTGAAAACCATCAAAAGGCCAAGAGTACAGAAATCCCGATTTGCGTACTTTTGCGGGTTTTTGTGTACTATTTGTGCGCTTTTGCGTACTATTTGCGGAATTTCTGTACTGTTTGTGTCTTGCATCTTTACACATTACATGCTGCATATCGAGTTGAGTGAAAACGAATAGCAGCATTTGTTGGGGGACGCTTTCGTGTCTTGAATTAGTGGGGGCTAACTCAGCATCCAGCTCTTCAAAACGTGAACGCTAGGAATTAGGTAGACCCTGTCAAAGTGCCTATACACAGTCCAATCGTCCAATCACATCAATTCTTCATGAATTGAATGATTCTCCTTGCTCAACTCCAAATTATGGAACTGTTGGGCCAGAATGTCCAGTCTGAACGGTTTGAAGGTTTTGCGACCTTTTGCGGCCAAAAGTGTTGAAACAAACAATAGTTAAGAACATTCTGCACGTTTGAAGATTCATGGTGTTTTTTTCAAAATCATCCGGCGGGCATCCTCCAAAAAATTAACTGCTGCCGTAGCGGGCAAAAAAACAGTGGAATAGAGTAGTTTTCTTCCTAATTCCTGACACTGGTGCCGTGGCTGGCCAAACATATTGGAATAGTGTAGGTTTCAGGTTCATTCCTACCTATCACAGCAGTTTGGTGTACACATTTCACAAGTTTAGGTACGCAGGAAGCATAGCGTAGAAAGAGCTGTGATGGATGGCAAATACATTGGAAGAAGTAGTGTAGGCTTCGCATATCCACTTAGGTGGGCCTCACATGTGACATGAAGGAATCTAGCGAGAAGAATGCGATAGCCCAGCCCAATCGAACATTGGTAAAGTTGGAGAAGCCAGCTTGGAAGTAGCAGGCCTGCGGACTGCTATGTGGGCAGCTTTCCTGAAGGAAGGCGAAAGAAAAAAAACAAAAGATCACGGCAAGGCGACAGCCCTACTATAAAAAATAGAAGTTGCAAAAGTATGGGCGGTAGGTATGAGGCCCTGATCCCGCTTTGTGGCATTCTTTCTGCTCTTCTTGCTTGGGCGCTTCAAGCGTGTTGTTGGAGGTGTGCGAGAAGAAAGGTCCTTGCAACGCTTGCTGCCTCACACGCGACATAATATATGACATTTCAGAAGGAAATGGAAATCATAGTGGCAGCTTTATGTCTTTCACACAAATGTACTGTGGCGATTGCTCCCAGCCTCGTCTTTCAAGGTCGAAATCAAAATGTGGGCTTCTGCAACCTTCATGCCGAAGATGGTAACAAAATCAGCGAACCCAAAGGAGGACAGAGCTTCGACAATCGCACCGTGTCGCCTCATGGCCGAAAAATAGTGGCCGCAGCCGGCCTGCGAGTGAAGTTCCGCGGAGAGAGGCGTTGCTGGAGAAGCCATGGAGTCAGGGTGCCGCGAGGCGGAAAGTGCTGCAAGCGTGTCTTGGGCCGGCCCTTGGGCCTAGCGCGCGGTGGCGTGACCGCACCTATGGTATTTTGGTGGAGCATGAGTGTGTAGGCATGCTCGCATGGACCCCAGCGCGCGGCCACGCTGCAGTTGAAGCACAAGCAAAAAGCATATGGGCAAAGTGGTGCACGATGCAGTTGCCAGTACTGCTCACAAATTGGGCCTTGCACCACCACATGCCAATCATCGAAGAGTTTGGCGGCCTTTTGCCAATGAAAGTGTCCAACGGTTGGCTCATACAGGCCCAAGCTGTCAAGGATGCTTCGAACTTGGCCGGGGCTTGTGGACTGCACCACCTTGACACAGGCATTGACTGTGGAGGGCGCCAGAGGGGAGAAAGACCGGTCCTTGCAAGCTTTCTTTTTCTGGTTTGGGCGCGCTCCTGTCCAATCCACCTTCCAGCATGAGGCAGGAATGAGCATCCAGCAGTTGTTGTCAGCGTCGGCAAATGTTTGATGCAAGCCCAGCTGGAGCAATGAGTCAGGAGTGGAACGGCCTTCTGCTGCCAAACTCGATGCGTTGCGGAGCGTGTGCTGGTCGATGAACTGGCCTATGGAGTCAGAGCCGTTGGAAGCAACCATCTACAGAACACGGTTATATACCATGGAGGACCAGGCCAAGGAACCAGGAGATCAGGACTAAAAGCAGAATCCGAAAAAACATGACAAAAACATTAAAAAGAAACGCCCCTCCGGGCCCCTCCGTATGTCACGTGGCTCCAAGCAGCCACACCTGGAACATCCAGGAACGGCAACGAATACAAAGGGTTACCATGGGTGACCCCAAAGCTGCCTTGGGGAAAGAAGGTTCAACATGGTTCAACAATCCTTCCACCAGTCTTTTTGAAGAGACATCAATCCCAATCACGACGCATGTTGGATGCCAACCTCTCTCTGGCCGTCCCCCTGCTGATCACTCAAACCGCTTGTGCAAGCTTCAGCCTTCCCCCCAACACTGGCCCCCACGTCTCTTCGAGCGTCAAGCTGTAGCGGCTGCCGCTCCAAAGCCGCACGCCGTGCCTTTCTATAAGGCCCACGTCTCTTTGGGCAATACAATCTTAAAGCTAGGAAGGCCCAGTCTTACTCATTCACCTCTCCGATCTACCCTTCTTCCTTCCAAACTGCGGAATACCTTCTATGCAGGTGGACTTCAGCTGCTGGTCTGGATCTTTTGGATCAGCACGAACAAGCAAACAAGGGCCTGCGTTCTCAAACGCTCCCCAAATTCATCTTCCACGGAAGAAACAAATGCCCCCAGATTTGCCGTCGGCCATCCTGCCAAAGGAATAGGTCTTATCAGTCCAAGATGCTGCAAATCGAAGGAATGTACAAACAAGTCCCCGGGCTCCAGTTGAACGAAACGTCGAGAGTTGCTGTGAGGTGTCGGCTGGATGTAGAGACCCCCTTCATACTCATCCTCAGTTGGGATCGAATGGTTGAAAGAAAGGCCTGGCGGGCCTCGCGGGCCTGGCGGACCAGCCCTTCCAATGGCCCAGTTCAAACCTACAATCCAAGCATGCACCAAACGCAGTTTCCTGAGTTGGAGTGGTGGGAATCCTTGTCACCCCTTTGGCTCTTGCATGGTTTCAAGGACTGAATTGGTTTGGCCCTGAGGGAAATGAAGCCCTACATTCACTCTGTTGTAGATGTTGTAGTGAATGAACCACATCTGGTCCGAACTGGTCCGAACGAATGGGCTCAAACATGGGTTTCCCCGAACTACCCACATAAAATCAGGTGGAATGAGGTGGATCTTCTGCTGCGCGACGGGCGGAGTGAGCCCCAGGACCACCGTGGCATAGGCATGGCCATCAAAGTGGAGGTTGTGTGTCCGACGCTCTTCGGACAAATACCTCCTGGTGAAGATCCGTGGAGCCGTGTCCCGGAATACAGGAAGGGGCTTTGGACCCAGGAGGATGCTACACTGATGCACCAAAGGAACTTGTAGCTTTGGTTTGTGTATCCATCAGATTGCCCACGTGGGAAGGACACAATATTGAGGTCGAGCCACCTTATGCTAATCAGGACCCTTGGCATGTGAGGCCATGTGTTAAGTGGGCACCTATACACTCAAGGCCGATTCACCAGCTGGCGCTGAGGAGCCGGACTGTCGGAAATGGAACCCACCCTCACACCCTGAGGACAACCACTCTGCAGTTTGATGCACTAAAAGCAAACAGGATGTTGCTTTAGTCCGTATACACGCGGGCGTTTGTTTCTCCAAACATTGTGCTAAAAATACACTGGAAGAAATATACACTGGATGTATCTATAAGCCCTCCACTTTGGGTGTTTGACAGATGTTTTTTGGATTTTGGAACATTTCAAAATGGACGATCCATTGGTGGCATGCTTATTTGTTTTGAGACGAACCATGACGAACCTCGACTCTCCTCACCAGGATCTCTGCCACTGTGCACTCTTCACAGGAATAGCGGCTGCGGACATATGGCAGAATTAGCTCTTGGACCATGGGTTGCAGTAACTTCCCCAGCTCTTCATCGCTCCACGTTCCATTGATCATCGGATAGTACTCGAAGGACGGCAAACCGTCCACCGAATCGTTGTCCACCGCGTAGCTCTGCGACTGGACCTGCTGTCGTTTTCGAGAAAAAACGACCGTTGACACGGTGGTGCCCATCGTTTCCCCAAAAGGGTCTGGAGCATCTATCATCTACCATCTCAAAAAAGAAGAAAAACGAAACATCACCCATCATCATCCCATTCATGCTACTCAAAGACCATGATGCCATGATGGGATATGATTGAAATATTCTGTCTTTCAGCGCTTTCATCAGCTTCGGCATGTCCAGCTGCAGGAACATTGATGTAAAGCTCTGGAATCGCCTTGAAACCAAAGCTTGTGAACTTTCATCCTATGACTCATCCTGTTTCATCCCCCGAAGCACGACCTTGTTTCACCAAGTCCTTTCCGCCGGACACGTCCTTTCCGCCGTCGCTGGACATCGCCGGACGAGCGCCGTGTCGCCTGTGCCAGGAGCTGCTGGGCGAAGCTGGGCGCCAGGAGCTTCGAGAGTCGCATGCAGCTGCTGCTGCCAGGCAGGTCTCGGGCGCTGGGGTGAGACATTCTCACCGGTGAGATGAACTCCTAAAGACTGGCTTGTTGGTCTGGAGAATCCCTATCATCTAATAGGTCCTTGGGGGGAATGGGTAGTAAAACCTCGGAATAGATTAGTCTTATCATGGTTTATCTATGTTTATCCTATTACTGTACGATGGAAATACATTGGAGGGTCAACAAATACTGTAACAAGCTGACCGCTCTTGATTTTGACTCGCTTCGAGCGAGGTCCACTTCCAAGGCTGAAAAACAGAAAGGAGTGACATGCGCTTGAATTTGGTGCATGATGGGTTTGGGTCCAATCAAGTTACATCTTTAAGCACTCTTGTCTTGACTCTTGACTCTCGACTCTACTCTATGCTGGGAGATACTGGGAGATTCTGATGGGGAAAAGCGGAATTCATTAGAATGTGTCAGAATACAAAACATCCAGGGACATGATGACAAAGAAAAAAACACACATCCAGAAAACATGGGCCGGCAAAGCTCTTTCAACAAGGAAGGTGCAAGTCTCTGGCTGAAACACGCTGAAATGCTGCCCAAGAGGCTTGGTATTCGCAAACTCTTTTCGAGCAACCAACGCTCCTCTAAGCCCTGGTATCCGCCAATCTGCAAATTGCGTGATACTGGGCTGCTTGGATCCAAATACCTGGGCGAGGCGCACTAGAGCGAAGTGACAAAACTGGAACTCAGGCGACAAAGATTGATGCGTGAATGTACTTGTATGTACTCTGTATACTGTATGAGTATATTTAGAGCTCTGTATGAATCTAGCATTGGCATACCATATGAGCAGGACAGGACTATATCCTGTAACACAGCATCCCTCACACTCTGAGCCTTCACTCTTCAAAGTAACCACCTTCACTCCTAGGCTACTGGTTGGATGTGCCCTTATTGCTCCAAATCAAATGATCCTACACAGTCACTGCGATTAAGATACGTGATGCCATGCGAAAGCTCCCATGCACTGCGTGATGCGACCAGCACTGACAGCGTTCCAAGCTCATAGAGACGCGGGCTCACCATGAGTCAAACAGTCCTATCCTGCCATGCGGGTCTTCACGGCAGAACTGCCTGCGGGTCTTCATGGCAGAACTGTTTTCGCATGAGCCACAAAGCAAATCAGGAGTTTTGCCAGGTCTGGTGGAAGTTTGGCCCGTTTAGCATCGTCTATGTAATGTAATTACCTCATGCAGCTGAACATGTCAAATGTTATCAAATGTTTAAGGATCTCTGACTGGACATGACTGGACAACGCTTTACTTGGCTTGGGCTTGCCAAAACGCTGTGTCCTCTTCTTTTCAAATTGCGAGTTCACCGAGTTGGCCCTACGAATCTTCAAGGCCCCACGACCTGTCTTTTCGTCTAGAAACGGGACAGGACGAGGATGCGTGAGGCGTGGTGTATGGGACACATGCCACAACACCAGTGCCGTCCGCATCCTCTCTTCGCAGTCTGCAGGCGAGATATCTGGAAACCAATGTACTTAGGAACAGGTTGACCCCTTGCAGTCCGTTCATACCTCTGTCACAACTCCCCCAATCTGTGAAGAATCAAACGACTTCTACAGTGTAATTATACGTAGTGTTGTCTTGTTTACCTCTCAGTATGTGTTTTGGGCTGCCACTTCGCATCTGAGAGCCCAAAGAAGGAGTCTGTCTCAAACGCGTCTTGACAAACAAGCTCCCTCTTCATTCTTCATAGAACTTGATTACAAACGACACGATAAGTTTCTCCAGGATAAGTGAAAAGACCATTCCCTACTTCAAAGAAACATTGATCGCCAGGCTGGTTGGAACTGGCTTTCCTCCTGTTCGGGTTACTCCCTCAGTTTTCCAAGGGCCCTAGGGCGATCCAACCTTCAAGTAAAAAACTTTTCATAAATAAGTAGGGTAGAACATGTAGAAGGTACTCCAACTCCTTGCGTTTGCAGGTGTTGTTCTTTTTGTGCTCTTTTCTTCGATTTCATGCCTAAAATTTAGCACGTCACCCATGATGTGGGCCCTCCAAGGAGGTTTTTGTAGAGATTCTCCGGGTGCTCCAGAAGTCTTTCCTCTCTCTATTTCTCTACTTCAACACTCAGTAGACTCGTCAGGAGGAAAAAGAACGAAAAGAAAGACTCTGCTCTTGTCTGAAAGCTTCCATAGCTCATCCGCCAGGTCTGAATTAAAGCAAATTACTAACCTGCCTGGGCCACTCATCTTGGCCCAGCTGCAATAAACATTCTTCGAATTCAGCACCTCCATCAGTTTAGTGCTAAGGTTTGCACCAGGATGCACCAGCTTGTTCTTTTGACTCAAGTGTTTATCTTCGAACCCAGGAGATGCAAAACCTTAAAGGCCCCCGAAGACGCAAAACCATTGTCTGCTCATCTCAGTTGTCACCGACCCGCGCACATCTGAGAGAGCAAGCCTCTGCAAACCAAGTGTGAGAGGGAGGATTTGTTTGAACGGAATTCGTTGTCAATGCATTTTGGTGTTGGTCCTCCACAAACTTAATGAATCCAATGTCCGCCCTTCAAAAGGGCACTGTGAAGAATGCTAGTTTTCAGAATACGGCATGTAGTTGCAGTACTTGTTCCTTGTTCGGTATTGTGGATCTTTTTGGTAGGTCATGGTCCACCTCCGCCCGGCCACCTTTGTCTCGGCAAACCCCCCCAGTGCCAGAACCAAATCACCTTGCAGCCCAATTCTGAGGGTTGGACACCAACTAATGTAGTCCCTTGATTTATAAACCCCCCCCCCCCAACAACCAAGGCCTCCAAAACAATGTATATGAAAATCAATCAGTTGATAATTAAATAAGGAATCCTTAGCTAGCTACCTCTGGAGCTACTCTGGCAATATTAAATTAAAAGGAAATAAGAACTCCTAACTTTGAAGACCTCTGGCAATATTAAATTAAAAGGAAATAAGAATTCCTAACTTTGAAGACCTCTGGCAATATTAAACTAAAAGGACATCTCAAATTTCTTAATAGAAATCTCCATCCAAAAGCCTCCAAAAGCATCAAATCTCAATGGAAATTTCAACTTTTCTAATAGAAATCTCCATCCAAAAGCCTCCAAAAGCATCAAATCTCAATGGAAATCTACAAAGTTTTAATAGAAATCTCCATCCAAAAGCCTCCTAAAGCATCAAACCTCAATGGAAATCTACAAAGTTTAAATAGAAATCTCCATCCAAAAGCCCCCAAAAGCATCAAATCTCAATGGAAATCTTCAAATGTTTAATGGAAATCTCCATCAAAAGGCATCCAATCTCAATGGAAATCTCCAAAATTTCAATGGACATCTGAAGCAGCAACAGCAACAGCAGCAACAGCATTGGAAGGGGGGATTGAGAGATGTTCAATGAGCCTCAAATCTCTAGACATTATTCTAGGGGCCCCCCC